TATGCTTGCATGTTTGCATCCATTCATCTGTATTGCATGCACCGGGCTCGGCGCATCACACTAACTGTATTGTATTTCAATTCCAATTTGAATACATGTATCAAGTTACATCCCACATGACACTCTTAGGATAGCTGAGCCTATCTTAATTGCATTCTCGCATGTGTTGCATTAGCCATCTTAACAGGAACTAGGGTCATGCATGATTTCTAACTAGTTCTTTAACATCCAAGTCTTGAAAGGCCGTCAAAAATGGGGTGTCTACACTATGTATATGTATACGTATACGTATATAATGCATATTTTGCATATCATCGCATCCCACATTTTCATATTTCACGTGAGATGTGTTAGGATTTGAAGGCTGGGAGTGATCTGTGAAAATGACTCCACAGTTTGTGTGTTTTGTAACAGCGAAAGTGAGTCATTGAACCATGTCTTAATCTGGTGCCCATTTGTGTGGAACATATGGACTGAAATGCTAAAGTGGTGGGATGTCCAATCTGCTTTGCCATGCACTGTGGAGAGTCTCCTCCTGTGGTGGGCTGGGGGAAAGTTAAAGAAGAAAGAAAGGTTGATTTGGGGGGCAATTCCATTGGCAGTGATGTGGTCAGTCTGGAGATGCAGGAATGAGTGTGTCTTTAGAGCAACTCCCCCAAATTTAGAGGATATCTGTGAATTAATTAAAATCAGGATTGCTTTCTGGGTAAACCCATATCTAAGAGACTTTCAGTTCTCTGTACAGGATTTTGGAACCAATCTGAGGCAAATAAGGAGGTGTTTGGGAGGGGTAGGTGCAATGGACTGAATGGCTGCTGTTGTGATGTAGGGAGCCTCTGCTGTAGTGGTTGCACTGTGTTGACTTGCAGCTGTGTAGTGTAGATATGTTGGTACTCTGAAGGGTGGAAATTCTGAATACGAACAGAGGGGTAGTATGTGTAATTTCGGGGTGTAGGTATCCTTACCCAACTCTGCACCTGTGCAAAATTGAAGTTTATATGCTGTGCAGTCTGTTTGTTCCTCCTGGTATAGAACCAACAGTGGTTCATCTACCTTCATGCTGTCCAGATTTATCAGTTCAATGATTTATTTATCAGTTCAATGCTGTCCAGATGGCTGTTCTGATCTTCTAGTCTACTCTGCTGATCTGTTAGTCTGTTTGTATCTGGTCTGATCTGCTATGTTGGACCGTACTGTAGTTGTTATTTTGTAAGGTTTGCTGGTTGCATATGATATCTTTCCTTTGGCTTGGTTCTCCAATTGCAAGCACATGTTCGTTTTTTATGCGTCTGTGGTGATAAAAGCTTCAAGACACCCAAAGTAGTGGGAACATTCCCTTCTGAATCTGCATAATTTATATAGTAACGGTTTGAATCTTTTTTTCGAGTAATAATACTTACACCATGCCTTCTAAAAAAAATAGGTTGTACCATGTCTTTCGAAGAATATAGTCTATTTAATTGGATCACTTATAAAGTTTTATAGGTCTAAGCACATGGAATAATATTCAAATAATTACATACGGCCTGTTTGGTGCAGTTTTTTTATAAGTTGAGAGTTGATAATTCAAAAACAAAAACCAAAAAACTCACCTATCTTTTTTTATTTTATTTTATTTTTAGTTCTTTTCAACTTATTTAAGCTATTTTTATCTCATAAACTATAAGCAAAAACTATACAAAACACTTTAATACAGATTCTCAAGATTTAAATAAGAAAAAATAAAAATAAAAAAAAAAAAAAAAAAAAATTGCACCAAATAGGGCCATAGGCTTATAAGTGGGTAGCATGTCTAAATTTAGGCTCTCTCTTGTAATTTTTTATTGGGTTAATTGTCCTATATTGAGTTATATTTTAATAATTATTTAATCTGCTTAAACTCAACCCAATCCAACCCATTGTTTTCAGCCACATAAAAGGTTACAAATAAATCGGAACTGCCAATGTAAAAAGTATTCAAGTGTCAAATTGTCAAAGGTTGTAAAAATCAAGGAACATGATGTTATTAATAGGCATCAAAAAGAAAGAGATGCAATATAAATAGTGAAGTGATACGACTAAAAAACTTAGATTTTGATCATGGTTAAGTGATGAAAGATTGGTAAAGAGAGAGAGAGAAAAGAGAAAGACTGGAATGAAAGATTGGTATCGTATAGAATGTCTTGAATAAAGAGGTACACTCTCCGTTATATAAGAGAGAACATTACAAATATCATCATGCCAAAAGTGTATCCACTAACTGAAAGTAAATGCACTAATCTAAAGCCTAAAGCACTAACATAAAATATATTAACAAATATAAAAGTGAAAGTGTGTGGTAGTGGGTTGACAGCTACAAATGCACTATGATGGATATTGTTAATCACGAAGGTGGATAGGAGGTTGAGTTACCCGGTGTGGTCGACCCGTAGAAGGATCGGTGAGAGGAAGAACCGGTGGAGAAGAAGGTGGTGCAGGGAGAGGGGGACCTTCAGGGAGAGCAGTCTGGTCAGGAGCAAGAGTGAGCAAGGGTGTCTCAATGAAGGAGGAACCTGTTTCAGAATCATCAGAGAAAAGATCTATGGAAGGATTAGTAAACAGTACATTAGTGGAAAGTGCAGGTAAGTGAAAGGAGGATAGGGAGGAAAACATTTGGTGCTCCTAAAAAACAACATGGCGGGAGATACGAAGACGTTTAGAGATAGGGTCCCAACAGCGAAAACCTTTATGTTCAATTCCATACCCAAGAAAGCAACAAAGACGAGAACGCGGTTCAAGCTTGGTGCGTTCATGAGATTGAAGGAGAACAAAGCAGGCAGAGCCAAAAACCCGAAGATTAGCATAGGGAGGGGGAGTGCCATGCAGACGTTCAAATGGAGTTTGATTATGGATGACAGGGGAAGGAGCACAATTGATAGTGTAGACAGCAGTGAGGGCAGCTTCCCCCCAAAAGTTTTCAGGGCAGGAAGAAGAAAGAAGGAGAGCGCGAGTAGTGTCAAGAATATGCCTATGTTTCCGTTCAGCACGGCCATTTTGCTGGGACGTGCCAGCACAGGAACGATGAGGCAGTGTGCCATGACTCTGAAGAAAAGAAAGGAAATCTGAATCCCGATATTCCATAGCATTGTCAGAGCGAAAAAGTTTGATGGATTTGGAAAATTGGGTATGGATCATTTGGGCAAATCGATAATAAAAGGTTTTGAGTTTAGACCGAGTTTTCATGAGAAAAATCCAAGTAAACTGGGAAAAATCATCAATAAAAACAACAAAATAACGAGATCCCCCCATAGTAGTGGTAGGGGAAGGGCCCCAAATATCCGAATGTATAAGATCAAAAGGTGCACAGGAAACAGAAGTACTTTTATTGAATGATAAAGCAGGTTGTTTGGCAAGTTGACAGGGTATACAATCGAAAGTATCTGGAATTACATGACCCAATTGTCCACTAGAAACCAAAGACTTTAAGCGAGTAATAGAAATATGTCCTAAGCGACAATGCCAAAGCTGAAAAGGAGATAATGAGGAAGCAGAGGCAGGAGCAGCGATCTGAGGAGAGGCAGGGACATGAAGGTGAATGAGCTCATAGAGACGTCCGTGCTTACGGCCGATCCCAATAGTCTGCCTCGTCTGAGGGTCCTGCACCAAACAATGAGTAGCAGAAAAGGTGACAGTTAGACCAAGTTCACATAATTGACCAATAGAGATAAGGTTTAAAGTGAGAGCAGGGATATGATAAACTTGAGGTAAAGATAAAGAAGATGTGGAAACAGTACCAATATGACAGACAGTCATGAGAGAACCATCAGCAGTTTGAATTGAGGAAATGTGAGGAGATGAAGAGATGGAAGAAAATATAGTTGAACTGAAGGTCATATGATTACAACAGGCAGAGTCAAAATACCAAGAAGAGTTACCTGGAATTACAGACAAAGTAGTATGAGGAGGAGTACCAGAAGGGGAGAGAAGGTGTTTGAACATGGCCTCGACATCCATTGGAGAAAAGAGAGGAGTTGACAGAGCAGGAGACTGTTGGAGAAAAGAGAGGGGTAGACGGAGCCGGAGACTCAGAAAAACCCTCAGCGGCAGCAGCAGCAGTTGCGGTGTGAGGAAACTGATTCCCAGGATGAGAGTGGTTCCTGGAACGATGAAAGCTCCCCCGAGAAGAACCACCGCGAGAAGAGTGGTTGTTGGAGGATGAGCGGGACGGATGGCGAAGACAATCCTGTTGCAGATGACCAGGACTAAGTTTGTTGCAGTATTGGCAGGTTTTGACCGGGCAATTGACCAGGAGATGTGTGGAAGGAAGGCCCCGATTCTGACAGTAGAGGCAGGCAGTGGTCCGCTGGGTGAATGAGGGCCGGTACGGGGGAGTGGCAAGAACAGAGTCCATATGATGAGTTTGGAGAGTACCAAGACGAGTTTCCTCTGATAGCAACTCAGAAATAGCTTATTCCAGAGTGAAATGCTTTAGTGAATAGCATGACTTAGAAAGATGCAACATTAGTGGGGTCGTAGTACGACTCAAATTTTTTGGTTTAGAACATTCAATCGAGGTTCACTATGGTGGTTATGTGCCTCAAAGGCACCTAACCAAGCATAAACCAGCCATTTTAGACTATCTAAGATGAAGCGTAATGTATTACTAATGGGGTAGTGTTCACTTGTTGCTGGATGAGGGTGGTTCTCCCTGCCAAGGAGAGCACACTGGTTTTCCAACCAGCTAGCTGTTTTTGCATCCTCTCCAGGATTATTCTGAAGTGCCCTCTATTCACTCTTCCATGAATGAGAGGCACTCCTAGGTATTTCCCTAACTCAACAGTCAGGGGCATACCACACTTGGAGCTCACATGATTAAACAATTGTGTTATATTAATGAAAAAGACTAAACTGACGCCCGGGACATTTTTATGATATCATAAACTGTTAACTGAAAACTTGTTTGGGACTCAATTTCAGTTGATAAGGATACTGATATGTATGTAACATAAATACATGTATCTATACACAGATTAATGCAGTTAATTATATTTAGAACATGGTGTGATCGTGAAAGTGTTGGATTTTCAAGTTTTGCCTTTACAGTAAAACTAAAGGTTACTAGTATTTTGAATGTGACACAGCATTACGTAGTTTTACTTTGTGTTCACAACAATTGGATGTTCCCTTAATAATATGGTATAGATAGTATAGATATAATTCAAGTCTGTGGTAATACTTTTACAATTAGGTACTTGCATGTTCATAATTAAATTGAAAGATCTATCAGGAAGTATAGAAATAATTGTCTTGATAAATCATCATTACCAGCTGAACTTTTGAAGAAATGAATGAGTAAACCTTGACTTTGATTTTTAGCAATAATGTTCATTCTAAATGATACCTACTCAAAACAGGAAGGGCAGAAAAAGATTAACAGTATTGTAGCATTTCATATATTTTTAGATGATGCAAATATGTTTTAACATGATAATTAGACTGAGTTATGGATTTTATTTTGTAACCAAAGATTTATATCAACACTTCATAGTTTCTCCAATTGAATGGAAATCCCAGACAATGAGTGTTTCACATGTATGGTCCATCACTACTTGAAGGGTCATTGCATTTGCACCCATACTTCCAACACTATTCAGCGTAGTGGAAACAGACTTTGTTAGAACCTGAGTTTTTTGTATAGGAGGGGCTAACCTGAAAAGAGCAATGTAGAACCACCGCATGCAAAACAACTTTAAAAGTGGCTGATCCACGTCTACACTAGGAACAAAATCTGAACATATTTCAATAGTAGTAGGAAGTAGAGGTACAAGCAAATCTGCTCCACTCCTGTGGATGTTAATGCCTAAATCAATAAATATCTAAACACATGCACTGAATTGGTGGTGGGTTCATAGCTGGTACTGGTAGTGCGGTGTGGGTGTGGGTGGGTTAATAAACTGTTTGTGCTTTAGTTTGTAAGGGTAATATGCTAATTTTATTTTTTCTGTTAACCCATTAGAAGTCAAAACTCTGACAGAGGGGAATTGCAATTTTCACAAACACAAGGGGAATTTGTAGATAACTGTAATTTATCATGAAAACATTATAATTCTCATTTATTTAAGCTATTACTCTATGAGTCTGAGCATATCTTTGTCTGCTTTGTTCAATCTGATGTACAAGCTGTAATTGGTGCATTCTATTATTACTACCTACTTTGGGTTGGTCCTTTTTAGTTATTCTAGCCCCGTTTTAGGTTTGTCAACTGTATAATATCCGAAGAGCATGGGCATGAACATGCAACATGATATGATACAGATACGTTGACATGATAAATTTTCACAATGCAGAACACA